CTTTAATTTCTAAGTTTAGGAAAAAAAGCTTCTCTGCTTTCTCAGTATGCCTTGGATAATGGTAATAAAGGCACTCATAGAAGAATTCTGGGAATCCAAATGACTCTGTGTATTTTCTGTTAATTCTGTAGGGACATGTAAACTGAATTCGCTCAGCAGGGAACAGAATTTATTGCAAAATCACATCTTGGTGCAGGGAAGCATATGAAGGCTTTCCTCACCCTTCTTTGATTTATTAAATTGTACTTTCATTGTAGCTTCTGGGTAAGGACTCAGAATTGCAGTGCCCTGTGATTTGTATCAAAGAGCTACTCTCCTCCCCTGGTATTTATTGTCAGGATCGAACCCTGTGGTTCAGAAAGACAATGAAGTGTTACTTCTACACTAGATGCCAGCGGGTTGCATGGGTGGTGAATGCTCCAGGCTAGAATCAGAAGACTGTTCCCAGTTTCATTTTATGTCTGACTTAGGGCAAGTTCTTTCTTCTGGTGATTCACCTGCCTAGCTGCCCTCACCATCTCTCCACCACCACCACCACCACCACCGTCGTCATCATCACAATGGCTTATTTGTCATGTGGTTAGTGGTTAAGTGTTTGAGCTCTGGAGACAGACTGTGGGAGTTCCTATCTGGACTCAGCCCATTTTCAGATGTCTGACCTTGGGCATGTGACTTAACTTCTCTAATGCCTCAGTTTTCTCATCTCTATGATAGGAATAATTAGGCTGGTATGAGAACTGAATAAGAATGCACATAGAATGCTTGGCATGGTGTCTGGCACATAGTAAGGCTTTTGTCATCCTCATCATTATTAAATTTTATCTGTTGTAATTATTCTTTAGTGACTCTTAAATGGACCATGATAAGATAAACACGCGAATTTCTCTTCTCTAGAAGCATAGAATTGGAAACAGATACTCATTGGCATGAATAGTCAACAAATCTTCATGTACAATGGTCAGTAGAAACTAGACTATACCTACATCAAAGTATGTAAACCCAAAGGGGATAACGTTTCAAGGTTTTAGAGTACTCTAGCGAAGCAGGACAGATAGAGTTTAGCTTAAGTTGGGTTGTTGAAGGTTCATTAACTGTTTCAGTCTTCTTAGGAGCCATAAATCAGTCATCGTTTAGTGCCCCTTGTCCACTTGAGTTGCCCCTGGAGAGTTGCGTTCTATTCTGTTAAGGTAGATGCTCTTGAGAGGCTTACCTGAAAGCATACAAATTTGAGATTGCTAACGTAAGACAAAGCTGTGGCCAAAGTGACCTTTCAGGACATTGCTCTTGCCTCTGAACCTCAGTCTGATGCTAGTGGTCAACTGTAAGATCTGTAGAAGGATAGCCCAGAGCAGATCAACCATTTCTAAAGGGTGAATTGGTTGCTCTTTGCTTCTGTCAATATAGAAAGTATTTATGAACCGTAATACCAACCACTGGAGTGACTTGGTAGTGGTATACATTTGCACTGCCTAGAAAGTTAAAAGGGGATTGGAATATCCTTTTAGAGGCAAGATGGAATAGTCCACCACTGACCAGTTCTGTGTCCTTAGACAAACTGTGTAACTACCCTGAGTCTCAGGTTCCATAGCTCTAAAATGTGAATGATACTAGACCTCATCCATATGGTGGTTACAAGGATTAGATGCTGTCATGTGTGGCACTTGGTAAGTGCTAGGTCCACAAAACCATCCCTGCTTAGTGCTGCGACTGAGCCACCAACTGGTTGCTGCCCAACCCTGGGCCTTTTTTGTTGGGTCTTGTAGTTACAAAGCCCTGGTAAGCAGGATTTGTTAGCTTCATTTCAAAACTCATTCTCTTTGTCTCATTAACCCAAACCAGACAGAGATTAATGGCCTGGCCTCAGAGGAGCAGGCGGGTACATGTTTCTGGTGCTTTTGGCTCATTGATCACGCTTCTCCAATTCAGGGAATTCAGGGAATGCTTGGGTGTTCCAGGAAGGGGTCTCCTGAGACCCAGGAAACCTTGAAAGAAAGTAATTTGGCACAAATTCATCTCCTAATTAAGGAGGCCTGGAAGTCTTGCACTTTACTGTTTTTTTCTGGATTTTGCCAGCTATAAATAGAAGCAAGTTTATTTTGGATAGAATGTTTGAATTTACTGGGAGAAATGCAGTGATCAAGGATGGTTAAGAAAAATACTTGCCAAAGTGTGGTCTTCTGTCCTGTACTTTTCTTGTCCAACTTTCCATGGTTAGTGAATGCTAGTCACCATGGATCGCTGGTCCTAGCTGTTACACAGTGACCCATTTCACTCACAGGCCACAGGCTCTACAGGATGGGATCACTGCCCCTCTGCCCTATCATCTTCCACCCGTCTCTGCATTGCACTGATTGTCCACCACACTGGCCCTCTTCCTTCAAAGGCAATGCCTTTTCACCTTTCAAGGACCTGTACTTTCTGTCGACACTGGTTCTCCTGTCTTCCCAAGGAGGCTCCCCTCATCGTTCAGGCCTCTTGCAAAGGTCACCTCTTCCGAGAAGCATTTCCTCACTGAAGTCCACAATACCCCCCTGCCTTTTTTAACTTTCTCTAATGTACTTATCAATATTTGAAGTAATCATATTTGTGCATCTGCTTATTTCTGTTTTCTTCACTAATTGGAAAGTTTTATGAGAGCAGAGATTATGGATGTCTAGTTCGTCTGTATCCCCAGCACCTGGAACGTTGCCCGACCATTATAGGCACATAGTATGTATTTGTTAAATGCATGAATAAGTAAATGAATTGCAAGCAACATGGGAAATTACTATTTCAGAGGTCTTCAAACTTTTCATAGCCACTATCTCCTTGTTCAGTAGCCACATGAGTAAAACGCATAAAAGCCAAGGGAGGGGACATTTGGTCACCTGGGGTTTTAGCTTCTCTCCAGCCCCCTTGGCAGTCCTTGTTTGTGCAGGTGCTGTGGGGCTCAATTTGGAAACCATGATCTAGTTCCAGCTCATTTATATAGATGATAGAGTTGCTGCTGAGGGAGAATGGGCCACTGTGGCTCCTCTTTTAAGCAGAAATTATACAGCCTGTATGTCAGCCTTCATCTAGACTTGGTGGTGACTTTTGCCTTCCCCTCAAATTCCATGAATGTTAAGCATTTCTTTTCTCAGTAGTAGAGTCCAAAGCACCTGCATTGTGTTGTGCTGTTTTAGTATATTTCTTCTGCACAGTCTCATTTGATGTTCACAGCACTCTGGGTGAGTCAGTCAGAAAAACCTATCATTGCCCACATTTTGTAGATGAAGAAATTAAAGTTCAGCAAGACGAAGTTATCGGTGGAGAAGCCCAGGCCAAGATCAAAATCTTTTGACTCCTCATCTCTAGAACTTTTAGGTGCATGCATTGATGCCTTTCATTCATTAGACAATCTTCTTTAAGTATAGAAAACTGTTCCCTTTATCCTCATTTTTTCTGACATTTAATAAGTGGCCTTGTAGCTTTAGTTTTCTTTAGAAAATTAATAATAAAATAGAGTGATTTGTTGTGTTTAGAACTTGATAATTCAAAGACCTTCTTGAGCGATTCCTTCCTTCCTTCAGTTTATAGATGAGGAAATATATGCCCAGAGAGGCTAAGAGACCCAATGACACAACATAGCTAAAGGGCTAAGTGGGACCTCTTGACCCAGCGATTCTCAGTCATATTTCTTAAGTGAAAAATATCTTTCTAGATTTAATAGTTCTTTTCAGAGATGGTTGCCTTGATTCCTTTAGGAGTTAAATAAGTGGTTCTCAACTGAGAGTAGCCATTAGAATCACTAGAGGGATGTATATATGTACACACACATACAAATTATGATTAGGTTCACCTTATGCCTTTCTATACCTACAGAGCCCTACAAAAGAAGGGTTTGGGTTCTATGATTTTTTCTTTTCTAAAGTAGAGGTTTCATCTTTTATTTAATCATGACAGCATATCAGGGATGGGCAAACTGTGATCTACAGACTGAATCTGGCCCACCACCTTCTTTTTTAGAGCTCACGAGCCAAGCATCGTATTTGCAAACATCTGCAATCGGCTTTATAAGGAATACTAACTTTGAGCACCAGTTAAGCTCAACCTCTCTCTTAAAAAATCCATTCTTCTGATTAGTAGGTTTGTATTTCAAAAATTCTACTCAAGTATTATTATTAGGTTTTAAAGTTTGTCAAAAATTTTTGAAAATTTACTTTCTATCTTGTTATTGAAGTACCTACATACTATCATTGATTTTGCCTCTTGGCCCACAAAGCCTAAAATGTTAACATCTGACCCTTTACAGGAAAAGCTGGCTGACCCTTGCAATATGCCATTGTCCCTTTTATATTGGGGCATTTTCTTTTTTTTTTATTGGGGTACTTTCCCTTTTTATGATTTACATAGATTAAGGGGGTTCAGCAGTTAAATATATATTTTCCTGATGACATTCAAATTTCTAGAAGTACATAGAGCAAAAAGTAACAGTTCCCACTCCCCAGTATTAACAGTCAACAGTTTTTGATGTAAAGGTCCTGACTTTGCCACTAACTAGCTGTGAGACATTAGTTAACTTCTCTAGGCCTCAGATTCTCCGTCTGTGAAGCAGTGATAATAACAGCTCTTGTTCAACAGAATTGTCATGTTGGTTATTTCAGATTAGTAATGTGAGATGCTTAGCACATTGCCTGGTGTGCAGTTCATGCTTAATGATTTGTAACTAATTTTAAATTTTTTTCTCCTTTCTTTTTATATACACGTATACATTTACTTGCCTTCTTAAAAAGAGGGAATATGATTTTTTTTTACACAATAAAGTTGCACAGATGATTCTGATGCACACACACTTATGAACAGCTAAAGTGAATACTGAGAAGTAGATAATTATTGATTGGGTTCATATTTGGGAGCCAGAAATTACCTTCCACTTTACGGTGCAAACTAGGGAAAATGAGAAATGTAATGGTTTTCTGCAGTGAACCTATAAGGTGGTATGAAATACACACAAATGAATTTTTATTTTTATCTTTCAGGTCTACAACTCGAACAAAGACAGCCAGAGTGAAGGGAGTAAGTACGATGCTTGGGTAACCTTCTACTGCCAGGGTTGGGAGTGGGGTTTGAGAAGTTGCTACCGCCGGTGTGAACCACCAGGCGGTGCTGTGGGCATGTTGGGTTGGCCCCAGTTCCCAAGTGCAGTGGGACATGCCTCCACCCCGACTTTCCATCAGTGACTCCTGTAAGTGAGCCTGGCTGGCAAGACTGTAGTGACACCTTGCATTTAAATAACACATCACACTTTACAAAGCATTCTCACGTACATTATCTCCTTTAATTGTAGATCTTCCTAAGACAATAGCTCGTCACCACTTAAAAGTTACTTAATACAGTAATACTCAACTCCCCAGGAGCCTTATCCTGTGGGAAAGCCAGAGTTGCTCTTGCCTCCCACACTGTCTTTTGCTCCAAGGACCGGAGAGACAATAACTATGTTAGGTGATTTCTTAGTAACTCTGTTTTCTTTGTGAACTCTTGAGGGAGGAAAGAATAGAGATGAATTCTATGGTAATATTCCTCTGTGATGGAAGTGTCCCTGGGCAGCCTCTGTAGGCTATAGTCCATTTGCCCTGCCACTGCCCCTGAGCACTCTCGTTAATCATGATTTCCAAGGGTACCTGTAACCTTGTAAAGGCGATGGGATTAAAATGAACCTGCTACTGGTAGAGTGTTTGGGCTGATTATCTCCTTGGTGCATAGGAGAAAAAACAAAATCCTTCCAGGTTGCTGCAGGAGTACAAAGGAAATCTTGTGCCTTGCCTCAGATTTGCTTTGTAAAATCCATTTGAGAAAAAATGTAAAGGTAGCCCTACCGTGAATTCCAGTTGTGTTAGGAAAATCAGGAGAACAGTGCCTCTCCATGTGGACGAAAGGATGACGTTGTTTTTTTTTGTGAAAGCCATTATAGGACAGAGATTTTTCCCCCTTTCTTTCTCTTCAAAATACAATTTTTGCCCAGGAGTTTTATATAAAATATTAAGTAATTTGGAATGCCTCCTGTTGGTAGATTGAGAGGCCTTTATGAGAGGAAAAAATGTTCCCTCCCCATCCCCCAAAAAATTGAACAAGGGAAAAATTTTAAGTAAATATTCAAGGAAACAAGTAATTCCACCCTACCCTACCCTCATTAGGTAGGATTTTTTTAGAGTACCTGAAGTCAACTCTGGCTAACTGAGGCAAAAACAGCAAAAACAACAGTTACAATACTGTGGGAACATGTAAGGCTGTATGGTAACTCATAGTAAGGCCGGAGGAGCTGAAAAGCCTGGCTTGAGAATAGAAGAGTTCTGGAGACCCAGGAACCCGGTAAGAAAGGGTCTTCTGGATAACACTTGCAAAATGATAAAGCTCTGAACTGTTTGTAGTCCTTGCCTCACCTTTCTGAAAATTGAGATTCCCAGGCATCAAGTTGGTCTAATTTGGGTCCACCCAGGGGAAAACTGTACACTTTGATTGAGAGTTTCAAGGCTGCTCCAAAAAAAATGGTGGCGGAGTTGTTTCTCAGAGGGAAATCAGGGAAGCCATCAGCACCAGAGGGGATGGATGGCAAGCAGGCGACACTGACAGATACTCACACCTGGCCCCACCTGGGACACAGTGCCTCCATAATAAAGGACCCAAAAGTGGTGGGGGAGGAGAGGCATGTGAATGGAGACCTCCCCCACACCGGTCAGAAGTTCACTTATAACTTGTGACCTTATGAACCTACATCTCTGTACTTGAGATAAATCCCGATAGAGTTGAAAGACAACTGGTTCTGACATTTCTGTAAGGCATTTTGATAATATGCTTTGGAAGCCTTGAAAAAGTGACCACCCTTTAACCTCCCAACAGCTTGTCCTAAAGAAATCATTGGCGTGCAAAGATGGTTTTTTACAACAAATAAGTTTGTTGGGGCATTGGTGATAATAGCAAAGAATGGGTAACAATCTAAATACTAAATAGGGAGTTGGATAAATAAATGATGGAGTAATACACAGCCTTTAGAAAGAACCAGAGAGGGCTAGATATATTTGCAGAAATTGTGTCGATAGTATGTTGATCATTTAAATTAAAAAAAAATTAGGCTCTAGAACAATATACATAATAACATGCATTATTTGACCTGCCTCAAGAAAAGAATAATACAAACAGTTTTATTTTGGAAAATACAAGCAGTTGTGACATTTTGCTTTTTGCATCCCATTATTCACAGAGCAAAGAGAGTTGCTTGCCTTGGGTGTCTAGTGATTCTTCAGTCATTACCCTTTACTCTAGCACACAGGAGATAAAAAGATGGGTTAAAAATAGTGGCCACTTTTTCAGGAGTCATTTAAATAGGAATTGTTTTTTTAGGGTATTCATTGATTTCCAAGCTGGCAAACCAGTGTTTAGTGTTAGTGTTTCTTCACCCTTTTTTGAGTTCTTTCCCACATGGTACAGCTTCTTAGCTTCCCCTCCCTGCTGGGATGGTGGTTGTACTGTGTCTCTTGATTGCAGTAGTTTGCAATTTAATCCAAACCCATAGGGCTCATCTGCCACAGGTGGCGCTAATGCTCTGGGTCTTGATTGTTCTGCAACACTCCTTCTATTTATGACACAACCTTGCAGCCAATCTGATATGAATTTAAGAGTGAGGCACTGCTCTTCTTAACCAGATTCCAAATGTCTAGCATCCAAATTCCAAATGTCCAGCATTTTCCTTTCTAGGAAATGTTTTGATGGGAATTTCAATGCAAACATTTTATCACAGAGCCAGAATGTTTTGAAGGAGCAGATAGCAAAAGGGAACTTCTGAATTTGTTGCTTTCATCTTGAAGTTTCTCTCAGGGCATATGGTGCCTGCAGAGTATAAGACAGGGCCATAAGTAATGTCTGTCAGCTGCTGGTATTTTCCAAATGACCCAGTTGCCAGGGAGAGGATGGCAGCTGATAAATACATGTACATTTCTTTTCAGAGCCTTTTCCTCTCCTCTTCGCTATGCTCTGTTTGGATCTCAGGTTTAGATAGTTGAATCATCACACTCCCTTGTTCATGACACATTATCAGCACAGGTTTCTTGATTCATTCATTCCTTTTGTTTCATTTTATTCATCCATTCCCTTTAGTTCTTTTTTCTAAAATGTGTATCTTTTATCTTCTGTGTTCTTAAGTTAATAAATTGTTCTGAGTCTTGTTTTATTTCTTACTTTGTGCCCTCATGATTGTGTTAGGAGCCATTCATATTCCACTGTGTCCTTTTACACTGTGGCTTCCGATTGTTATATAATTTGTGGTATACAGCACTTTGTATCTGTTTTTGTGGAGATGTACTCCATCTCCTTATACCTCCAACTCCTCATCACCACTAACACCACCACAGTGGACATCTTTGTACATATCTTCCTGAGTGAGAATTCCTCTGGGACACATCCAACCAAGGCATTGCTGGCCAAAGGCTATACATAGTTTAAGTGCTCTCTCATATTGTTCTCCAGAGTGGTCAATCCACAGTCCCACCAATTCTACGTGCAAATTTCTCCATTCCTGCCAAATCTCATCAGTATTCAGCTTTCTAATTTTTTGCCAGTCTGATAGGTGTAAAATAATAGGTCATTGTTGTTTTAATTTGCAATTCTCTGGTAATTAATGAATTTGAACATCTATTCATATATATGCCGGTTTACTGGGTTTCCTCTTCTGTTAATTGCCTATTCATGTCCTTTACCCATTTTTCTGTTTTAGTTACCATCTTTTCTTTTTGATATGTAAAAAGTTCCTTCTGATTCTAGTTACTAATCCCTTGTTAGATTCAGACAATTTAAATATATGTTCTCATCTTGTCATCTGTCTATTAATACGTGGTATCCTTCTTTGACTACAAAGCCTTTAAAGGCTTTTTTTAATATTCACATCATCTCTTTTTTGCCTTCTGGTTTATGATTTTCAAGTTGTATTTTGGAGAAGGCCTTTCTAACCCATGTCACAAAGGTGTGGACGTACATCTTCTTTTATTGGCTTTGTGAGTGTGTCTTTCACATTTAAGTTTCTAACCCAGCTTATTTCCACCACTATATGAGATGTTTCACGAGGATCCATTCTTATTTTTATCATGAGAAGAGTTAGTTTTTCTTACAACAGCTGTCTATTCTTTTCTTGATTAATTTGTGGTGCTGGTGTTCTTGCACAGTAGGTTTGCATATTTCAGTTTTATCTCTGAGCCCTTTATTCAATTTTTTTGTTTAGCTGTTTTTGTCCCAATACCTCTCCCTCTGTTTTTAATGCAATAACTTTGAGGCAACTCTTAATATCTAGTTAGTTAAGTCTCCTCTATTTATTTTCCCTTTTAAGGTTTGACTTGGGTATTTATGAGTCTTTATCCTTCTGTATAAATTCTAGAATAAGTTTAAGAAGTTAGCCGAGCGCGGTGGCTCACGCCTGTAATCCCAGCACTTTGGGAGGCCGAGGCGGGTGGATCACGAGGTCAAGAGATCGAGACCATCCTGGTCAACATGGTGAAACCCCGTCTCTACTAAAACTACAAAAAATCAGCTGGGCATGGTGGTACGTGCCTGTAATCCCAGCTACTCAGGAGGCTGAGGCAGGAGAATTGCCTGAACCCAGGAGGCGGAGGTTGCGGTGAACCGAGATCGCGCCATTGCACTCCAGCCTGGGTAACAAGAGTGAAACTCTGTCTCAAAAAAAAAAAAAAGAAGTTTCCGGCCTGGTGCAGTGGCTCACACCTGTAATCCCAGCACCGTGGGAGGCCAAGGCAGGTGGATCACAAGGTCAGGAGTTGAAGACCAACCTGGCCAACATGGTGAAACCTCATCTCTGCTAAAAATATAAAAATTAGCAAGGCATGGTGGCAGGTGCCTGTGATCCCAGCTACTCTGGAGGCTGACGCAGAAGAATCACTTGAACCCGGGAGGCGGAGGTTGCAGTGAGCTGAGATCGCACCACTGAACTCTAGCCTGGGTAACAGAGCAAGACTCTGTCTCAAAAAAAAAAAAGAAGTTTCCCTTTGAGGAAAATTTTTCTTGGGGGTTGCATT